CGCTTATGTAAATAACCGCTATTAAAGCTAATGCCAAAAAAACCCTTAATAAATTCATAGCAAAGCTACTGATTTAGGAGGCTTTTTAATGCCGGCAGCGCTCAATTATTAGACAGGAGTGCGTTATTACGTTTAAACCTCATTACTGCGGCAAGTCAGCGAAACTCCATCAATTATCTTGCGATAATGAAAATGAGAATTGTTCGAGGTGGGGGGTGGGCCGATGTGAGAAAATAAAAAAAATTAAAAAAATGTCTTTGAAATCATCATTGCTGAGACAAGGCAGTCTGCTGCAAAACAGAAGTTTTCCCCCAGCATGAGAAGAGATACGGATTTAAAAGGAAGAGCAGCAAAGAGAAGGGAAACAACCATGGATTACAGTAAGGCGCACATTACAGTATTGGTTTATGTTAAAAAATCATAATCACCAATCAGTTAGAACCTGATAGTGGGACCGTGGCTCTCAGTGACAGCTGGGTCTGACCGATAGCAGCCATGCAGTTTCAGCTGCTACCTGTTCAAGGGGAGATGTAGAGTGCCGTATACAAATTTTGGTATAGGCTGAAGATTCTGAACCCAGAAGACGACCAGGGCAAAGAGGCCGGAGCCAGTGAGAGAGCTGGCAGACATTGCATTGTGTGGGGGAGGAGTGTATAGTTCTGCAATTCATCTTTTCCTACTAAAGAATCACTAATGCACCCGTCTACCCAATTCACTTTGGTTGGTGATCTAGTAACCTGGGAATCTCTGCTTGCGAGACAGGAGAGGAATTCCTAAAAACACACCCACTGCAGATTCCATGCCGTCTCTCGCCACATACAGAAAGCCAGAAATACGATTTTTGGCCTCACCATAAAATAATTTTTTTCGGAGTCCATAGAGAGAAACAGTTTGAGGGTATTAAACGACGTAGGGTTATACTGCCACCTACAGGACGAATGGAGGCAGCATAACTCTACATTGCTTAAAACCCATCAAGTTGTGTCCCTCAATGGACAATACAGAAGAGCTAAAAAATGAGGTCCTCTTTGATACAGTTTCTCCTTCCTGCATGGCTACGAAGTGCTCAGACTGATTTTTGATGGGCCCTGATCTTTAGTACAAAACATTCATTTTCACAATGCTGCTTCCCCCAGGTGATCATACAACTGGGATAGACAACCATATACTGACAAATGGCTCATGTAGCCAGAGGTTGGGGGGTGTCTGGGTTCTAGGGATCCGCCTCCTACCTACACAGTATTTAACGTTCAAGCCACACTTTTTTTTTTGTCACAAACTTTATCGACACCAATCACTCAAACAAAGAGCAAGCAAGGTCACTCACATATGAAGTACACCCACCCAATGTGGCTCTGCTTGCGACGTGTTTCGCCCACCATACAGCCTTGGTCTTAGTCATAGAGGTAGATAGCAAGGCTTTTATTTACCTTCAGCTCCCAGCACTAGTGAACAGCCCAAATCAAGTGCACACTTCAGTACTTGCTTTTAGTAGTGCATGTGCTCTCACAGGGCATGTACGCGTTGGTTCATATGTTTGCCTGGGCTGCACACGAACCTCAAGGCAATGGAACAGATAACAGGATGCAGGTGTAACGTGTTAACCTTTTCACCTGTTCTTTTGCAGTGGTACAGTTTGCTCACTGCTTTCAACCTAGGTGCCCTCGCCTTCTGGTCTCCCTCTATTCTCCTAATTAATCACTGTAATGTCAGCCCCATAGTTTTACATTGCAGTGACTAATACCATTTATAAAAGACAGCAGAAACCTGAACTAGAGTGCGTACTGACGGCGCTAACGGCACCGCTGTGGCCTCTGTATAGTCATATCTGGCAAAAGGCCGCGCGGTGGCAAATATAATTAACGCATTACACTTCCCTCCTACTAGACTTCCCAATTATACAAGCACAGATCTGCTCCTCGTGTAGGTAAGCACAGCAAGATAGGTTAATTAGATGACGCAGGGATCAGGTGAGCACTGCGTGACAAGGTCTGTGCTGGGGGACCGAGACCAGAGACTGTTCACAGTGCATCGATCAGTTCTGGCTGAGCTCCCTCCTGACATCAGTTATTTCAAGTGTATGTAAACCTCTAATACAAAAAATATAATATATTGCAGCTTACCGGTCCTTAGATATAGTGGCTGCACGAGTTTTCGTTCTTCACCAGGTGATCCTGCGAGTAACACACTTCCCTTCATGTTGACACTTTTTTCTTTGCTGGCTGTCCAACAAGCTGGACTTCAGAGTTCACCGATCAGTCTCGGCTGATATTTGAAGTGTCAACGGTCTCAGTTCCTCAGCAGAGACCTCGTCACCCAGTGCTTCAGGGTTTGGATATGCATTGAGGTTACGATGATGAATGCATTGGTGTAAACATATGTGTTACCATGCAGTGAAGCATGTTGGGCACAGCCTCAACAAAAGGAAGACTACACCTGCACCATTATTACCAAAAACGCACAGAGCATTCACATTGCGAGTTGTGGGGCGCATTTAGACTACAGGTATTCCTCACTTAACGACCGAGTTCCGTTCCTACGACCAGGTCGTTAAACGGATTGGTCGTTAAGTGAGGAACTCTATACAGTACTATACTGCATTAGTACAGTACTGTATAGCGTTGCCGATGTACAGCACCGAACAGTGTACTGTACATCGGGCACTGGAAATATATACCGGGACCCGCAGTGAAGATCGGAGGACGTCACTTCCGCCGGCGACACGGCGCACTGACGCTGACGCGCAAGGTCGGAGGTCGATCCGCCGTAAGTGCGAGTGGTCGCAAAACAGGTAAGTCGGTAAGCGAGGAACATCTGTACTATACATGTTCATTGGGGTGCCATTCAGAATGAAGGATAATGCACACATAATGCGCACTACCACACATTTAACCCCTTCATGACTGAGCTAGTTTTCAGTTTCTGTTCATAAATGACTGACACACTTTTTACATTTTTGCTGTGTGATTCTTCCACAGCAGTAATATACTTTCTTACTAAATGTACCAACACATATTATATATTGTTTTTTAGAGGACAGATAGGGCTATATAATTATATCAAACATGTGTACTTAACGCCTTCTTAATTTGAATAAAATATTTAAAAAAAATAAAATGGGGAGGAAAAAAAAAACTAGAAGAAAAACTTTTTTTTCACAAGTTTTGATAATTATTTTTTTTTAGAAATTTGTTATAATAATTATAGTATAAAAAATATAGTTGTATATCATTTTTATTTTCCTAATTTTGTTTTACACTTTTTTATTTTTTTTACACTTTTTTTTTTGTCAGTTTATATCAAGCAGTCACTATGACTGCTTGAAAAAATAACTTTAAAAAAAAAATGTTGGCTATTAGGCTGCTCCCAAACGTAGGAACAGCGAATAATAAACCTTAGAGACTGATCCTGACTGCATGTCAGATTCAGATCTCACTAAAAGGTCTTTGATCGGCCCAGACGACGATCAGAAGTCGGATACATTTCACCAAAGAGATGCAATGTATCATAAACATCGAGCTGTCAAAACAAATAGCAGAGAGGTGACTCACTCTGCTACTTTGAGCTGTCAAATACGGGATCGCTATTTAGTGCTACCGTATTTGCATGCAACGGCTTCATTCTTTCATTAATGAAAGAAAAAAGCTTTTACAAAAGCTTAACTATTTCATTAATGACTGCCTCAATACTGAGACATTCATTAATGACTGGTAACCGCTGAGAATCAGCTGTTACCGGCATTACAAAGCCTGATATAACTCATCACGTACAGTGTATGTCTCCCGTCACGAAGGGGTTAAATACAGGTTATTAACAAGTGTTACCGCAAACACATTCAGACTAAGAGGACACTGGGATAGTTTTCAGTTTGCACCAATAATTCCTGTCCCTATGTACAATCAATAAATACCTAGTACAGTTATTAAGTCAATGACGGCATCATTGTCCAGGCACCTGGAAGCGCTATTGGAGAACAGCCAACGTCATTTCTGGTGCCTCTGGAATGAACTACAAATCCCCTCCTGCAACAGGAATTGCAGCCGTCTTTCAGCAATTATGTGGGTAGGATTCTGGCAGGCGATTGTCTGCCGATCAATCATGGTGGGCAGGACAGGCCAACAGTCTCCTGGCTTATCAATTAAATTAGGCAGTGAGAGGCAGCAAGACAGATTGGGAGTCCAAGAGGTCCAGGTCCCCCCACTACTTAATGAAGCTGCTGCTATTAGAATAAGTACAGCGGGGGGACATTATGGACTTGTGGCCCAGGGAAGAACAGGCCACCAGCCATACATACAGGGTGTTAACTACTAGTGATGAGCCTGGGCTTGGTGCGAAACCAGAGCCAAGACGTGTGACTGCCACCCCCTCCTCCCGACCCAATCTGTTGCAATGAGGTGCATTCCCTGCCCAACAGCTTTACATGAGGAGCGGAATATGCCCCTTGGACCTATTTTTGTTACCAAGCATGCCAAGCTATATCTACAGCAATGGTTTAGTAAATGAACCCGATACAAAAAGTCTAGGATATGGGACCTTTAAGATATTGGTCATGTGACCCAGCATATTAATAGAGAAGACAATCCCTGCTCTTTCATTTACCTTTACCGGCAGGCCAGGGGCAGACATATTTAAACCAGGTGGCAGTCTCGAGGTTAGCTGACCCCCAATCAAGCTCAGGGGCGATCCGATTAAAGCAACAGCTTAGCGAAGCCATCGCTATGGAAAGAGCTCGTGTTCTGCAGGGGGGGGGGGGAATGGGAAATTCGTGATGACAAATGTGGATTTCACAGAGGAAAGCATGGCACAAACAGCTGGATGGCAGTTTCCAGCCACACGCAGCCACCGGCCCATGCTGTTAAGTCATGCTATAGAATGGAAACACATGCAGACTTATTCCTCTCCATAAATTAGAATAATTATATCCGAGAGTTGTACGGATGCAGGGTGAGAAGATGGGGAGGGGGGTGAAGGGGTGTACAAATGAAGATAAAAAAGGATATCTTCCCGCTCCGTGGCGATCAGCTTGTTCTGCTCCTCCAAATGCCGGATCTTCTTCTCGAAGGATTCATGCTCGGTCTTCAAACGCTCCTCCGTTACTTCCTTCTCCTCGCTCACCCTGGAAGGCCACAGAGAGGTCAGACGACAAAGGAACAGACAACGGAGAACCAATAACTTTATCTAATAACAACAACAACACACATTTCTATGCATCACTTTCAATACTTAACCATTAGATGCAGGAGCAGAGCAAGGAACGCTGATATTGCATCTCAGGAACTGATCCTGAACAGGTCTGAAATGGAGCAGCCACACAAATAAAACATTTAGAGTGGACTGCAGGCAATGTAAAGAATAACTTGTATTTTCAAGCTTCCCCTGGAAGTTTTATTACCTTTTGGTCCGTTGTTGATTTTTGCTTAAAAAGTGTTGTGCAATCACTTACATTAGGGATGCACCGATACCGATACTAGTATCAGTGCCGATGCCGAGTACTCGTACTCACCCAAATGCTCCGATGCCTAGCCAGATACTTCCTGTTCACTTGTGACGAGAGAGCATGGGGCCGGCTTCCCGACCCATCAGGAAGCCGGGCTCTGCTTCATTACACAGCGCCGGCTTCCTGATTGGCCAGAAAGCTGGCTCCATGCTTACTCCTCACTTAGTGACGAGAAGCATGGGGACGGCTTCCCTGCTAATCGGCTAATCGGTTACACGCCGCCTGGCTTCCTTAATGGGCCTTCCAGTATCGGCGAGTACCAAAAAATATAAATTATATATATATACATACATATACACATACATACACACATATATACACACATATATACACACACATATACATATACACACATATCGGTACTCAATACTGAAATACCGGTAACGGTGCATCCCTAGCTTACATACACATGTACGTCCTGTGCGCATTTGCGTTCGTATGTGTGCATGTAGGGTCACAAGTACTTTGATTTTTCATACTTCGATGAATTCAGCCAATCAAGCACAGACTGTGCCTTAACTGCTGTTTGAGCAACTGGGATTTTGACAACCCTGACCCTGGAAATGCTCATTGCTGAGCACGGCTGGGTGCTCACTTTGTACAAGAGAATGAGGAATTGATGTGCCTCCATCTGCTGCCGCTCACCATGCTGACAGTGTTTATTGATGTACTGAGGCGAGCCGAGACCCAGCACCTAGACTGAGCGGCTGTGAGGACTATTGTCTTAAGTGCAGTGTGGATTTGGTTTATAGGTTACTCTGTAACCTTGGTGGGTCGTGACCCAAAAGAGTGCTTTTCACTCATCCTCATAGTTCTAGCCGACCTGCGATAATGAGACTGTCACAGGTCGGCTCAGTAGATCGGGAAGTGAGCGAACACATACCGGCGTTCGCTCACTTCTCGATCTCGTCACGGCAGAGAGCCGTGACAGGGGAGGGACTGGATTCCCCCCTCCGATCCTCCAGCGCTGACTGGCGGAACGGACGTGGGAGGGTACAGCTGGCTCTGCCTCTAGATAGGCAGAGCCAGCTGTCACTCACACAGCTGGGTGGATCCAGACATAATTGTCGGGATCCGTTTCAGCTGCGGCGTCTCAGTATATAGGGAGCTGTAGCTCGCGGTATACTGAGCTTAGGGTGACGGGAGGACGCTAGTTTGTGTCCTCCCGTTACCCTAAAGAGAACTATGGGGAAAACCCGACCCCATAGTTCTCCTTTAAGATTTAAATTCCTGAGTTTAGTGTCAATTTAAAAACAGTGGTTTAAGTTGCACAACATGTGGAAGCCAAACTGCCTCGTCAAGGCTCCTCTGTAGTGTGGTCCTAATCTAGGAGCAAATATAGCAGTGGAGAACTTCAGTACAGGTACACCTGGGGGTAACCCAACCTCCCTAAGGGCACAGGGACACACCAGAAGCTGAGCACATCACAATGTCAGTGTGTCCTCACACAAATGATGGCTTTAGTGTGGGGACACACTGGGGGCTTCAGCCGCTTTGAAAGCTGGTTACAAGTTGATTTTTGTGGTTGCCAAATTTGTTTTGAAGGCCTCATACATGACACAAGCAGCCCGCGTGACACTCCTCCCCGCCACCCCCTACATGGTCCGTGGTAGTTTTACGGGTCCCCCCAGGACCACGGCAAATTACTTCAGGATAAGGAGCGGGGAGCAGACAGGAGAACGTCCGTTCTCCGATCTGCTCTCTGGTCGTTGACAGGAGAGCAGTACTCGCAGGCTTCCTGTCTCAGCTGTCACAGGAGACCGAGTACAATGCTGTGTTCGATCTCCTGTATTGGAGGCGACAGGTTCCTTAAAAAAAAAAAAAGAGAACCTGTCACCTCCAGGAGCTTGTTAGCCCCTGTAAGATAGCAATGAAGTTATGAGGGAAAAAAAAAGTGTAAAACAATGATAACATAAGTAAAAAAATATAAGTGAAAGTAAAAAATTAAAAATCAACCCTGCCATCTGCGTGCGAATAAATGCATGTGCAGGGCATTTTATGTGTGTGCACTGAAGAGCGCTTCGTAGTACGGTTAAACACGTTTTTAATTAAAATTATTTTTTGGATCAGGACAAGTAGGCCTGTCATGGAGGGACAAGTAGGCCTGTCATGGAGGGACAAGTAGGCCTGTCATGGAGGGACAAGCAGGCTGGGCATCACTTTAGTTGTTTTTTTAAAATTTCCACAAAAAGTTGGTTTGTGGAGGCTGCTCTAACCCTTTTAGAGCAAAGTAATAGGGTCTATGTAAAGCCCAAGCCCAGTAACCATGCACACCAGTGTTCTCCTGCCAATCCATTGCAATTACATAGCAGCCACCAACAATAGCTGTCAGAGCTCAGAGGGAGCAGTGGCCATGCTTGTGCCTGAGCTCCTGCATTTCAGGTGGAGGTCACATGCTCCCCTATATCCGAAAGCAAATTGACATTTTTGCAGCAACAGCAGTCACCACAAAAAAGGAGGAGAGGTGGGAGCCCTGATTGGGCAATGCGACAGGGCCTCTTTATAGTCAGATTTAGACAGCTGGCTGTAGACATCCAGAATAAATGCTCAGAAAGAGTCATCTATAGACCAATAAGTTCCAGTGCAGGGTGCCGCCTATCCAGCAACGGTGAGGTTAAGGACTGTGCCATGCTCAGGAATCCTATAGACGCCACTACAAAACACCTGTAGCCCAACATAGAAGGGCATCTGAATGCTAAGCACTTCAACAAAGCAATGATTTCTTTATGGAGTTAGCATGTCACTTAATGGTGCATTTTATTGCTAACTAAATATTAAGCAGAGAGTTAATAGAGTGAGAGATGGCCGGGCCTCACCATCTATTGCACTTTAGATGCTCGGCCTAACTCCCCGATCTAAATGAGATCATTTCAACTGTGCGCCTCTGTATCCAACATGGAAGCGCAATAACTCAGAGCGGGTATTAAGCTGAGCGATCCATCACGCCTGCTTCTCTCGCCACCTGTTTTAGCAAAGCGTGCGGAGAAAGATCAATTACATGCTAAATATGGGCACAGGAGCAACCTGTCTTACCCGCTGACAGGCCAATATTAGCACTCTAATGTGTTGTTTGACATTTTTGCCCAAATCTAGGTCATTCTTGTGCTCCCCGGGTCTAGACGCAATCTTTCTTAGGATGCTATGGACAGGAACACCAATGAGGACACCTGCGAACCTTCCCTGGAGACTTGTGGTGGTAAAGCTGTGCTCTGGCCAGAGATCTCCCCCACAGCAATTTAAAACATTCTAATCTAAGCAGCCAAAAAAAGCTTGCCTGAATCTGAGGTCATGTGACAGGCCAGGTCCTGATTCTTTGCTGCAGTTGTAGGTTCCTTTTTCAGGTGCCAACATTGATATGGCTATGGGCTGTCCATTGACAGGGTCCCCAAGTCACCACACCTTGGTTGTAATTGTCACGTTGATGGGTGCAGACAAGAGGGTAGACCTGGACTGCAGCACTAGTTCACTGGTCTATGCTAGTAGAAGAGGTGTTGGTGAAGGATATACGTGACGGTGGAGTCAGGCTTCGGATGAATGAACGAATGGAGGGGTGGTATTTGGCTTTGTGGCCGTATTAGGTAAATCATGTCAATCCTACCCCTTTCTTTCAATGCAGGGAATGCCCGACCTGCAGCTGATTGAGTTGTGCCCATAGTACTTCCTTGTCCAAAGTAGCTCAGGTTTGGTCCAAACATTAGCTCAGTGGTGGCGAACCTTGGCACTCCAGCTGTTTTGGAACTACAAGTCCCATGAGGCATTGCAAGGCTCTGACAGCCACAGAGATAACTCACAGAGGCAGATGCATCTTGGGATTTGTAGTTTTGGCACTGCTGGAGTGCCAAGGTTCGCCACCACTGCATTAGCTCATCCGTACCCAAAGATCTACTGCTACAACAACAGCGGCAACCATTTACGCAGCAACTTATATAGTGCACATTCCCATCAGTCCCTGCACTAAATGAGCTTACAATCTAAGGTCCCCATCACAGACGAGGTCAATTTAGAAAGGAGCCAATTGACCTCTCAGCGTGTCTTGAAGTGTGGGAGGAAACCGGAGTACCCAGAGGAAAGCCACACAAAACAAACAAATACATATAAACCATTAGAAAA